TTCTGTGAAAAATGCATTTTATGGTATCGCAGGCTAAAACTGTTTAAAAAATAAAAATAAAAAAACACCCGCAGTTTTTCTTTCTGTCTTTTTCTTCTCTTTTGAATAGCACACATTGAGCTGCTTCATGGAGATATACAGAAAAATCAATTTCTAAACATAAAATGCAATTCCCATTATGGAAACTGCGAACAATAACTAATTATGATAAGTTGCTATGTAAATCACTCTGTGACAGTCCTAGCAATCAATTTCAAACACAAATAGACCAAACCCCTTGCTGGAGAAGAGGATGAGCACCTAACAACTGTGTCAATAAAAATAATGGCTACGTTGCCAAGGATGAATAGAAACGGGATGGTTATCATCTCCAAGCAAGTTTTCATAGCAGATTTCCTCTTGGTTTCTGGTTTTCTTTCTTTTATACATTTAAAGTCCAATGCTTGATATGACAAGCTAACTATGGCCCATCTTCAAGACTGTCATGCAATGGGAAAACTTTAATAATTTGAAGATTTTCACTGGGCTTGCATTACTTGGCAAAATGAGTGTGCAAATAAACTGGAATGGGACCTTGAACGCGATGGCGGTTGGTGAGGCAGGGTTACGGCAGATGCGCCGGACTGTCTGTTTGAACCAGGTGCCACCACCACCTTCTCTGAGGTCTTCCCTCTTGGCACAGGACTCTCGGTTAGAGCGGGCCAAAGAGATACTGGGTGTGGTTTGGAAATCCAGAGAGAATGTGTGGATCATCCTAATGTCTGAAGCAGTATCCAAGTGAACTTCTTAAGAATCACCCCCATTGTTGCTGCAGAGTAGAAATTCAGTAGGAGATTCCCAGGGGTTCCTGAGATACCCAAGAACTTCAGCCAGCTCCTGTGAATTATCAGAGTCTGAGACTCCAGGTGTCAGCTTCCCTGACTTAGCCCAACCCTGAAGGTGTAAGTCGCCCATTCCTTGCATTAAAACCTTCATAATTGGAATATACAATGTGTCTTCTATTTTCCCTGTCTGAATTCAGACTGATACCATAGCATTTCACTCTTTGGTTTCTCAAAGTTTCTGTTCCAGAATTTGTAGATGTGTAATTTAAAAGAAGGGTCGGAGAGGGGCGTACCCGGCAATTATTTTACAGAAGTAGGCAAGGGTGCCGCACTCTCTGCGGCCGGAGCACAGCCAGGGGCACCCACCTGGCGGTGGGCATTCCAGGCCGTGCCTCTCCCTGTCCTTTCTCTCCCCTTCCCTCCAGCACAGCGCTACGGTTAGCCCTGCGTTTGCTTCATATGTCCTGTGTAAAGGACAAATGTCAGGGGTGGCCTGGGAATCAAGGACGGGGAACTTCCATCTTTGCCTTGGCTTGGTTGCTGAGTGACTCAGTCTCTCCTAGGGATTCTCGGTGTCTTCCTCTGTTAAATGGGAATAATAATATTTCCACTTTATAGAGTGGTCTTAAGGATGATAGTCTGTGCTCTAAATAGAAATATCTTCCCAAAAGACACAATGGTCTATATAAATGCAAATTCTACTTCTAACAGTCACCAGAAAAAGAGTGGAAATATGGGGCTTGCAGAGGAGTATGTCCTATGCACACAGCATATTTAGAGCCGTTTCTCCAATGAACATTTCAACACTCTTCATGCTGTGGATACCATATAGCATGTAGGACATAGACTGCCACTGGGCAGCAGCTGAGACCACTGACACAGCCCGCATCCCCATACTCTGAAGACATGCTCAGACCTGGAGCAGAATTCTCAGAGAGATTCGGGTGGACCATTCTCAAACCATATCGATGCCACAAGGTACATCAGGCCGAGCGTTCAGGCCCCTCTTTGAGAGCTTCTGTTCCAGTAAAACAGTTCCATTGGTTGCTTCCATAGGTCTTATCCCCTTTCTACTATCAAAACACCCGAGTTTAAAAACAATGGATTTAAAATAATTATCTACTTGAAAGTTATTCAATGTGGCTAAATGCTGTCTGGCAGCGAATCAATCATCACCCATAATATCTGGGTTTCTGAGAGCAACAGAGCTGTGTTCTGAGGTCCAGGAGGCTGGCCATTCTCTTTGGTATGTGCTCACCCCCAAAGGAAGATGGGTCTCTTTTCTCAGATGCAGTCAAGCTACCTTGCAGAGGTATCTAAGTTACTGATTTTCTCCTGGTTTCTATCACTGATAGTTTACTGAACAAATCTTCACTGAACTCTCATTAAGTAGGAGGTACTGCAGATACAGTGGTCAGCAAATAGACAAATCTCCTCCACTCCTCCCAAGAGCTTCAAGCCGAGGAAGACAGTCCCTGAAAAGGTAAACCCAACCTAATTCAAATGTGTAGGGTGAAATCAGGGGATCCTCCTTGGAGCTGTGGTATTTATGTTGATACCTGAAGAATGAGTAGGAGTCAGTGATGTAAAAGGGAAGAAAGGTTCGGATCTGTGCTGCCCCTCAGGGAGCTCTCATTTCTGAGCAGTTCAAGATATACATTTCCCTGACCTCTGCCACACAAAGCAGAATATGAACAATTGCATCAAGGAAATAGAAACAGACATTAAAAGTACCTCAAGAGGGAGAAAATCAAAACAGAAGATGAGAAAACATTTCATTCAGGAAGCCGAAGTACTGCACCCACGACACTCCCTGTGTATACGGATCACCTGTAAGTTACAGATGGAAGAGTCGCCTGTCTCCTGATCATTATCCTGGGCCCAGACTGTTCTTGCATTTGAATCTAGAGCCCTTAGGACATGAATCTTGGGCCCATTATTCTTGACATTGGAAGTTACATAAAAGGACAAGTAAAGGAAAAATGGCATGTGTTGGAAAATAGCAATTTCCGCATGAACTACTGTCTGCTAGTTTGTGTACTTGTTGGTGCGGAATGAAAAGAAATTGGGAACTGGATGAATAAAAAATTATTTGCAAATAGAACTTGCACTTAAGGTTTCATAGATCAAGTTTCAGACATCAGGGAGGATTTCACCTGGGAGAGAATTGATGTAATCTGCCTTCGCAATGTGAACGTACCTCTCTGGGTAAATGTGTGTGAACTGTTTCCATGAGGGTATTAATAAATGACACTCAGATAGCTTGACAACTTATATAATCAGAAATTTAGAATAATTTCTTTAACTTAAATATATGTAATGACACTGAGTGGTTTCATTCTGGGTGCCAAAAATATATGGCTTTCCCCACTGGTCATTGTACAATTCATGCCAAGCTGAAATATATCAGTCTCATCTTTTCCCTACATAGATCAGTCCAATAATAATCCAGCCTTAATGAGCTTCTTTGCCTCTCTCTTTGCAGGTGTCCTTGGAACCATAGACCCCAAAGCCCTGGCCACTATTTCATGATGCTAACTTGCTTTATCCACCATCGAGTCATCAGCACCGATCAGGCAGCAAGTGCAATAAATGTATAGAAATATTCCTCAGGAAAATCAAGACATCTGTTGTTATCTCCATTGAAAGAACATTTTTCCCACTGATGTTGTCACCCAAGAGCACCTATTTTCGCTCTAAGCCTTAGGTATTTTTTCATATTCCAAAGTATGAAAGATATTCCAAAATATCTTCAAAACTTATTTTTGTACATTCCATCTCTTTAAGGTTCAGATTTATTATTTTACTGTTACAATGACAGATGATCTTTATCTTCTTCATGATCAACATGTATCTGATCGTGTCCTTCTGTTGTGACATCTTATTGTCATGGACATGGCCACTTCTGCAAGTGGTCTTGAGGGTTCCAAGACGCAGTGTCTTCACCAGGTTATACACAGAAAAATCACCTTCATTCAAATGTAAGAAACCAATGAATAAACCTATGATGATATCATGCTAGGGTTAATTTGTTATTCTTTCTAGCTTAGGTAATATTATTTGCCTAGGGGAATTTTTAAAAAGTCTCTGAAGGGTTATGCTCAAAGCCTTCATAAGGAGATTTAGTGAAGGAGACCTATTCATGCCTCTCAAACTATAACATATTAGCAGCAATTCATTCTACCTAACTTTGGGCAAAATTGATTTTTCACAAAATGTTCATGTAATTAAATCACAGATGGACCCTAATAGAACCAACATGCATTTAAATGTAGAAAACGTCTACTGTGCCCAGACATCAAAGAGGCGACACAAGCCCAAGTCGCTCCGATTGGAACCCGGGATTACTCTCTGGGTCATTTCCTGTGGAAGGGCGCCATGTCCCCAGACCCACCTCTTCCTGCAGGACCAGCCCCACCACTTTCTGGGCATCTCTACAGCCTTTCCTCCTACCCTCCAACCCTGCAGCCACAACTAGGAAACGTGGCAGCAGTCACAACGAGGCTAAAACGGGGTAAACGATTACACCGCATGGCCTCTTCCTGTCCCAACTAATTTCTACAAAGGGGATCACATAGTCCTTGGCCTAAGCAGCCAGCTTAGAAATAAGACATTTTTAAATTATATTCCATACCGACTCTAGAGATGGCAATAGTAATTCAAGGCTTTGGAAAAACTGGGGAAGCTAAATTAATGTTTCGGGGATCAGAGAATTCAGGGAAAAGTACAGATTGATTTTCTTCAATATTTCCAGGCAAATTGAAATTCCTTTTAGCTGTAATACAGACTTCATTTATTTTTAAATTACAGATTACAACTATTATACTCCCAAACAATGATACTTTTACAAATACTAGCTGGTTTCCTTATTTCTCTTCATTCCTTTTGCTGGAGGTAATTATTTTAGTAATTTTTAAGTGCTATGATCTCTTTAGTTAAAGAAAAAAATCATAAAAGTATATTATACCATGGATTTATTTGCCTTCCCAGTAGACTGCCACTAAATTCTATTTAATATGAGTTCGAGTCGCTCAGGCTGACAGGTACGGTTTTCTCATCAAGGACTGAAAAGCACTGTGTTCTTGCTAAAGCACAGAGGCAGCCTTCAGGAGCCCAGACTGTGCACGGCCAGCGACCTCCCTGTACCAGGAGAGCAATGAAAAGCGGAGGTCCTACCTTGGTGACTGGTGAGTTCCCTGGAAGCCGACGGCAGGGGTGTGTAGTGGCACTCGGGAGAGGCATCGACACTGTCCCCGGAAGCCTGCGTGATAAAAGCAAATGTCAGGGTGAGGCAACAGCACACTAAATACCTCTGTTTACCAAACATGTCCCCTCGGGATCTGGGTTTGCGGAAAACATTACGGACTCTTCTCAGGAAGCAAGAGTGGTCTGTGTTGAGATAACATACTAGAGTGCGGGGTGGACCACGAAGCTTTGAGGAGCCGCAGTACAGCTGGGGGGCTCTGGGAGAAGGGGCTCTTTGTTTGCTGAACTGAACTGAAGAAAAGGACGGACAGAGAGATTGAGCGCAGGGGATGGTGCAGATTTGGATTTCTGTCATCAACCTTCTCCCAGTAATTCCCTCGGATGACCAACTGTGAGTAGATTTCTATGGAAACCAGTGAAGAGGCTGAGTTTTGCCTCCAGGGTAGATGGCAAAACTGGTTTCCGTGGACCCCAGTGGCTTGGAGACAAAGATGAAAGCATAAGGCTCCACAGTATGAAGCGATCATGCCGAAGGATAGAAGCCACTGCAGCCGTGCAATGGGGGTGCTGGCCGGTTTAACCAGTGCTCAGGAACCCAAGTGAAATCGGAATATAATGGTTAGCAACAAAACATTGCCATTCCAAGTCCTATAAGAAAATGGTATGAAATATGTCTGTGAATTGTCCACAAACAACTTTTTAACCCTCAGACTCTATATATGGTGACTCAGTTGCTAACTCTCTCTTTGCCCTACTCTACACCCAAGAGGACTCAGGCAGAAAGAAAGGACCAGTGCTGTGACGTCAGGTGTCACTCAGAACCATGTCACTCAGAGTGCGGCTCCTTACAGGAAAAGTATCACCACTGCAACTCTTATTGAGACTTTTGAATCAAATGCTACTTTTTTTTTTTTTTTAATATCTGAAAAAGAACATCTGCTAGGATCAAAATCCTAAGCTTACAACCTTTCCAAGCTTCATGAAAGTGTAAATTTCATTAATGCTACATTTTTCTTTCTGGAATAGGAAATACATTCTATGGGATATATTTGCCCTGCTAGGAGCAGGCCTTTTCTCCAAAGAGATTATCTACATTATAGGAATCAAAACTAAGTAGGAGATTAGACCTACTTGCTAGGAAAAACCCTTTAAAGCCTGTTTCTGACATTTGAGATGTTTGATTAAGCAGCTTTCGGTGGAGACTTATATACAGAATTCTGAATGGTGCGAGATCAGAAGCTCTATCCCTTAGGTAGAGACAGATTCCAGGTAGCATTACTTCACTCCAGCTCCAAGGGAAATATGTGATGTTTAAACTTGATTCAAGGGTATTGGGTCCAGAAAGATAAAAGTTCAGTCACCAAGAAAAATGTTTTAAAAGTAGATAAGACTTGCTAGGTACTACATCATTAGATATTTAGGATGGCAATGATATAAAAGAGTCAGAAATGAGATTCAAATTCAAATACTAGAGTCTCCATGTGTTTCTCCATTTGGCATTCAAGGTCTCCTGTTCTGCATGTGACAAATGAGACATACAACAGTGTTCTACAAACGGCATCTATTCACATACTTGAGGCAGGACGTATGGGATGGGGTATGGAGGCTGTCTTTCCACAGATCCACCACACTTCCTTTGTAAGAGGGAAGAGCTTCTTCCTCTGCCAATGTTGCTGCTCCACCTCATCGCTAAAAAAGCCTAAAATTCCAATATGAATCTTAGATTGCTATATTGTGATATTGCTTAGTACTTTTAATCTCAATTTGGGCTGTTGACAATTTAATGACAGCTTTTCCTGAAATTACTGGAAGAAACTACCTTTCAGCAAATACCTCTGACTGGGCAAAACATTAGAGTTTTGTAACCAAGAGTAAAATAGCTATTTAGTTTTATTTCCAATTGTAGTCAAAGCAAAAATTGTGCGGCGTGAGTTCTGCCTTGCAGTCGTCATTCTATGCCAGCATTTAATTACTTCCCTGCTCAGTGTCCACTTATAAACTCAAGTCACAGAAAAGAATCCAGGAAAGAACAATTTTGCCATCTATGTCTTTTGGTGGGACTTTCATGGCTGGATACTTATAAAAATGATCACCAATCAAGACTCTACCATGTCTCGCCCTGGCCGGTTTGGCTCAGCGGTTAGAGTGTTGGCCTGTGGTCCAGAGAGACCCAGGTTCAGTTCCCACTAAGGGCACGTACCTCCGTTGCAGTTTGTCCCTGGCCCTGGTTGGGTCATGTGAGAGGCAGCCACTCAATGTGTCCCTTTCACGTAGATATTTCTCTCTTTCTCTCTCTCTCTCTTCCTCCTTCCCACTCTATCTGAACAAAAAATGGAACAATGTCCTTGGGTGAGGATTAAAAAAAAACCACAAAACTCTATCATGTCTTTGACTTGGCTTTTATCAGAATGAAGCCCATGTAACCTTTTCAATAGCGATATACACACTTGATCTCTGAATATTATGCATAGAAGCATGATTCAGAAGAGCACAATTATCACATAGGAGAAATGGACAAGACAATGTCTTAAAGGTGTATGCTGCCTGCCCAAGAATAAGGAACCCCCCCCCCAAAACCAAAGCAGTATACCCCCAGTATAGCAAGTATGAGATCATAGAAACATAGGTGGAGCGATGTAAATCATTTCCTCCCTGGATTAAGATATGCCTAAAGTGAGAACAGAGAAATTTGGGTAAATTTGAATCTTCAAAACTACAAATACTCTCAAACCTTTGAGTCCTTTTCAAATTTCCTAATTACCGATGGCAAGAATTATACTTTTATGTTTTACTTTTTAAATCACTCCTGGTAGAAGATATTTATACCATCTACAATAAAAGATCAGTATCCAGAGCACATATGCCCCTCAGTAAATTACAATAGAAAAATGGACAAAGGAAGTGCCAGGCCATTCAAAGAAGAGAAAACCTGAACAGTCCGTAAATAAAAAAGACGTCAAATTCACTAGGACTCAAAGCGATGAACATTTAAACAACGAGATAGTGTCCCCGCCCGTCTCCTTGTCATCATGGCAGACATTTAAATCTCCACAGGTGCTACAGAGAATGAAAGGAAACAAACTCCTGTCTTCTTGGTCTTTGCCAGTGGGAATGTGCACTGGTTCAAATACACTGGAGAGTAAGTTAGCAGCAATATGTATAGAATTGAACATTGGTACAGCAATTCCATCTAAAATATATACACTATGGAAAGTTTCACTCAGGTCTGTAAGGTGGAACATAAAACAGTGTTTACTGCAGCATTATTTATAACAGAAAAAATTGGAAATAATTCAAATGTCTGTCAATGAGGAAAGTGAATAAATAAAATGTACATCCAAATGCTGGAATCATATTTAGTATTTAAGAGCAATGAACCTGATTTATCTATCTCAATCTGAGGAGGTCTGAAAATGTAATACAGAGTGAAAATGCAAGTTGGGAAATGATAAATGCACTATAATATTATTTATGTAAATATGTAGCCTTTGATCTCATGTGTTTATGTAAACATCTAAAAATTATAAAAGTTATACATTAAATTTGTGAAAATGGTTGGTTCTGCCAGTGATCAGAGTTAATGAAATGGAGGGGGGGGGCTTCTATTTTCTATATAAGGTTTATTTACTTCTATTTAGAGATGACTTGAAACAAATATGACAAAATATTAGAAAATTACAAAAATTTTAAAACTTTTCTATATTTTTGAAATTTCTCAAATTTAAACACAAAAATTCAAGGAAAAAAAAGACTCCTTTCTGATCCATAAGTCCTATATTGACATGAACCCATAATTAGAGGAAAATTTTCTCCAAAACTTTTCTAATACTTGCACAACATGGATTAGGGTCCTGTCTGGTTGGCTTTCTGTGATGAAATATCTGTTTCTTCTAAAGCTATTGAGTGTGACAATGGAACGGAAAAGGCTGATAAATCATAGGAAAGGCTTGAGATCCCCATCCCAGCCTGGGAAGTCCTTCTGCTTCAGATTTGTCAAAGCACGCTGGAGGTTCTGAATCTTTCTCCTGTTCACAATTTGAGAGTTGCTAATGATTTTTTAAACTCACATCAATAATGCTAATAGTCACTAATATACTGCACTCTGCAATTTCCATAATGCAGGAAGGAAGGTGGAACTTTGGCAACCTCATTGGAAAAAAGTCAAGGAAAGTACCGTATTTTCTACAAGAGACTTGCAAAGTGAGAATTTCACCGAGTGGTTACAGAAAACAAAGTCTTCGGACATATATGTAAAATCCAAGCCCCTTCCCACTGAGTGCCCGCCTTCCACGGAAATCTGCCTTCCAGTGGGTATTTCTGAACATCATGGACGCCCTGAAGGAACATAATACAGACCACAGGAGAAGAGATTTGGCAGGCTTCAAAACAAGAAGGGGAGGCTACAAAGTTGTTTAATAGTCATAAATCTCATACTATTTTTCACAAAATACCATCTAAGACCACAGCTCCACAACTCATTCCCCATCACTCAGCTCAAGTGGAGCGCTTTGGCATGCTCACTCACCCCTAAATCATACACCACATAAAGTGATCCTGGCTCTGGGAAATTTGTCAGCCTCTCTCAAGTAAAAGCAATCTTCACTTTTCATCACAATTCATTCCCTGAAACTGTGGTATAAAGCTGACTCTTCTAAAAACATTTATTTTCTCTCATAAGGAAAAGCATCACTCATTTTGTTATCAACTATTTAATAACCACCTACTATATGCCAAGCCCTGTGCTGGGAACACCAAGAAAAGTAAAATAAGGACCTTGGTTGTATTCCCAACTCATAAAAAAAAATTATAACCATGGTTAATACTGGTTATTAAGAGTCACCAGTTCATAACATGACCTCCATACTCTGCATTATCACAGAATGTTGTCCCTCATCTCTATTATGGCACCTGAACACACGAAACAGTAATTATATCCTTGCTTGTTTCTTATTCAAGCTAACAAAGAGTTTTCGAGATTAACTATATTAATTTCCAAGATTAACTATACTATTAGCCCTTGTACCCAACATGTTGCCAGAGATACAGAAAGAAGTC